ACATTCATTAGAGAAAATTATAAAATTCATCTTTAAAAGTGCATAAAATTGAATTTTTATTCTTCATTCTTAATTAATACTCTTTTATTAATATAATTATTTAACTATAAAAGTTATTAATTAATAATAAAAAATAAAAATTATGATCCATATATTTTTAAAGAGTATTTATCTCGTTGAGAGTTTTCTCAATGGTAAACTATTTTTGGCTCAAGGGTTTCTTTCTATATTTTGAAGTTATGCTCAGTGGGCATTACTTCTCGTGCATTTATGCTTCTGACATTCTGTCCGTAAATATATCAATCTTTTTTTTTTTTTTTGATAGACACAGACATATATATCATTTATCAATGTTATATTGCGGAATAATAAAAACAAGAATAAAACGGAAAGTTATACCCATCAGAGAGAATAAAAGGAAAAGCCCATCTCCCGACCACTCCCTCCCCCCCCAAAAAAAAGGCAGAAATTATAAGACATGAAATATAATCATGATTTATCTATTTGATTATAAATATGCATTTGGTACCAAACGTTTTTAAAGGTGAAAGGTACGCTGTAACACGATCACTCCATGTAGTAAGATAATCACAGATAACTTTTTTTTTCCCTCATTAATCACATATAACTTTTAGTGGTTCTTATTCCTATTGTTTGTTCGGTTTTCAGTCATCACTGAGTATTTTTTTTCAAAAGGGAGAGTCTCATTGTATGGGCAAACAATGATGATTTACAAAAGGATCAATTAATACTGGAGGATGGGTACTTGACTTTTTGGTTTTTGTTTTTGTTTTTTTTTTTTGGTTTTTATAGGAAAAATTAGTTTCATTGTGTCCGTGAAGCCGTTCTCTCTTTTGGTTTTTTCACAACCCTCACTAGTTTTTTTATTTTTTTTTATTTTTGGTGATAATTAATCCTTGTTAGTTTTACTTATATCATGGGTTGTGCTCTTTAATTTGCGTTTAGGCATGGACAAAAGGACAAGCGCGTCATGTTCTATTTTTAATTTGCGTTTAGGTATATAATGCATTTGTCCTTCCTGTATACCGTTTTTTTATCTGCATGAAATTAAAAAAATTCTCTGACACGTAAACTCGAATCTCTGGCATGTACCGCACTTAAATATGCTTTCAATTCGGAAAAAGTTAAAGAAAGTAGATAGCTAGCAAGTGGAATATTTAAGCTTCGTTCATTTCGCGGATTTAAATTTTCAATTTGAGTTGAGATGTGACATTTTTTGAGAGCTTTTCACTATAGCAAAAAAAGTTAAATGTGACATTTTTTGAGAGTTTTTTACTGTAGAAACTTAAAACTGAAAACTTAAATCGGTGAAATGAACGAGACCTTAATTAAAACAATGTTTTTCTCGTGCTAATGGGAAAATTAATGACAGTAAGCCATAGTATAAATTATCAAGTGGAGATTTCGATTTGAAATAAAGTTGCAATGACATATATTATTGGTAAAAGGTTATCTCCGAGACCAAATTAATAAATTAGTACGCGTTTGAAAGATGGGTTCAAAGATTTGAATCAGAATTCAAATTTTATTAGAAACTTTTTAAATTTAAATTTTTACCAAAAAAACACTGTTTAAATCAAAATAGGTGGGTTTAAACCCATAAAACAATAGGTCATTAATGTCCAGAAATCTGTGGTAGAAAACTAAACTCTCGTTTTTGTCTTATAGTGACCAGCCTACTCTTGCGATGAATATATTCACTATTTCAATTATATGAAGGGGGCCGCTGATCTCTGAGAGTACTATACTGGTCAGAGTGGCTGAATCATACTTTTAAAGCATACATAATGATAATATAATATATAAACAAGTAAAAGTATGTTTGTCCGTTCAGTCTGGTCATCATCTATTTATTATTAATCGTACGTGATTGGCCGGACGCAAGGAGAGGCAGCTCATTGATTGGAACTTTGGAATTGATGCATGTGCAATATTTCGCAAAAATACATAATATTTGGTTATTAGGGGACAAGCTGGAATGGCCTTTCAAATGCAGAGAGATAAGGCCCTCTCTCTCTCTCTCTCTCTCTCTCTCTCTCTCTCTCTCTCTCTCTCTCTCTCTCAGTTGTAAAGATTTGTACACATCTTTCTTTACCATCTGAGTGTAACGTTTTGAGCTGCACGTGTTTAAATTGTTTATATGTGTGTGTGTATATATATATATGTATATATATATAACACGCTATGGAAGTACGTTAGAACCTTTAATGACTCGAAAGTTAATGCTTTTAATATTGGTCGTGAGAGTCACATGCTTTTGTCTGGAACTCTGATATCTATAATCTGTCATCATTGACTAGTAATACTAATAAGGCCAAGTCCGTTGTGTAACCTGTGTTTATAATTATGCATGATCGATTCTTTTGCATGTTTAGGGAAGGATTATGATTTTGCTTGGCTAATGATTGGATTCTAAGTGACAAACTAGATGGCATGTTATACTAGTTGGTAGCTAGCTATGAAAAATAATGAGCTAGCTAATTAATTAATACAAGTAACACCTTATTAATTTTCACATTTCTTGCTAATGAATTATAATTAACTAATATACTCAAAATTGCTTGCTTGAAACCAGGGAACCGTGATACTGCTATTCCAGCCAGCGGAGGAAGCCGGCAACGGCGCGAAGCGGATGATCGGAGACGGAGCTCTAGAGGACGTGGAGGCCATATTTGCGGCACACGTGTCGCACGAGCACCCGACTGGAATCATCGGTTCGAGGCCCGGACCGTTGCTAGCTGGCTGCGGTTTCTTCAGGGCCGTGATTAGTACTGGGAACAAGGGTGGCAATGCCCAGTACTCGGGGGACCCCATTTTGGCTGCTTCAGCCGCTGTTATCAGCTTGCAGGGTATTGTGTCTCGGGAAGCCAACCCGCTCGACTCCCAGGTGTGTACCTCTCTCAACATATATCCTGTCACAAAATCTTTATATTTCACTACTATTCAGTGATTCAAAACTGATCACTGAATATCTGGGAACAGCATACAGTAGTACAACTTATAGATGATGGAGTTCGGTTATAGATCCTATATTACTTTATATTAATACGTGGTCATTGTTCTTTATGGCACTACAAATTGACCATATATACACTCAGGTTGTGTCAGTGACTACTTTTAATGGAGGCAGTAATCTGGATGAGATACCACACACAGTGGTTATAGGTGGCACGTTTAGGGCCTTCTCCAACACAAGCTTCTACCAACTTCTTCAGAGAATAGAAGAGGTAATAATATTTTTTCTGTAAATATAACGCATCAACACATTATACAGACCACTCTTCACTAATTAATTTGATTCTTTTGAAAACCAAAGTTTGTGTATAGAAAAATTGAGACTTAGAATCATGTGAAGTTCTATAGTAATGTTTCAATTATACTTTCAGAGTTGAGTACATGAGAATCTGTTATTATTAGTTAATTACGGTATAATGATGGATAGCTGATTATATACTTGCAAAAAGCAGGTAATAGTGAAGCAAGCTAGGGTTTATAGATGCTCAGCGGAGGTGGACTTCTTTGAGAAGGAGTACACAATCTACCCCCCAACTGTGAATGATGAAAAGATGTACGAGCACGTGAGGAAGGTGGCGGTGGACTTGGTGGGGCCGGCAAATTTCAGGGTTGTTCCGCCGATGATGGGCGCCGAGGACTTCTCATTCTTTTCGGAAGTGGTTCCAGCGGCCTTCTTTTACATTGGCGTCCGGAATGAGACCTTAGGCTCCATACACACCGGTCACTCGCCTCACTTCATGATCGACGAAGATGTTCTTCCCGTTGGTGCCGCCACTCACGCCACCATTTCCGAAAGATACCTCAACGAGCGCCAACATTAATGACGTGCGCGAGCTATAAAAATTTTTGTGAAATCATGTAGGAGTCAATATTATTGAGGGGGTACAAGAAAATTAGATTTTGCACCTTTGTGGTGTATGCAATTTGTAAAGGATTAAAAATGTTCCTAATAGGCGGCTAGGGCTTTGCTCCTGAGCTCTTGTAGTGGTAGATCAGTACTACATGTTGTAATAGTATTACATGATTGTATAATTAGTACTTGTAGGCCATTATTATATGTTGTTTTCATAACGTTGTGTTTGTGTGTATATATATATATATATTTTGGTGGCCGTTCAATGTCAATATTAGTTGTTCTTGTTGAGAGGACCATTAATTATCAATTTCTATTATAAATTGTCATTTGTTCCGTACAATCACAACAAGTATTCTTGAAAATGGCTAATAGTGAGGGCAAAACGCCGCATAGAAATTGTGGTTTGATATACATTATCTGTGGTTTCATTTATTTATTTATTTTAATGACGCAATAAAGTCTAGAGTTTGTTCATTTTTTTTTCCTTGTTAAGTTTCGTGGTCTCAAAAACATTCATGTGAGATTTGATGCTTCCGGAAACAAAATTAAAACTCTGCTGAAAAAAAAAAAAACGTTTAGATGAAAGTTGAAAGTTTGAAACAAGCTAGATAGAAAACAGAAGAATGAAATCAGCTTGATTTATAGGGTGCGTTTGGAACTCATTTTAAAATGATTTTATTTTTTGTATGAAAATGAAAATGAAAATATTTTTATTTCCATTTTAGAATTATTTCTGAAAATACGTTTGGTAGTTTTATTCAGAGATTATTTTCAATTAAAAAAAAATTGAAACTACGTTTGGTGGTTTCAATTTTGAAAACATGTAATAATATTTAAAATAATAAAAACTCTCTCTAGAAATAAGCTTTTTGAATGATTCAAAATCCTACATGACCCATAACAAGTCTAGCTCATGCCCATAAACCAGTTTCCCAAAATTTGGATCTAATAATTTTAGAAAAATAAAAATATACAGACCAGACATATTGAAAATCTTACAATAAGTTCCAGCCACACAGTAACATTTCAAAATTTTGATAAAATCATCTACTCATCCAATTAAGGTCACTTTAGTCTCCATAAAAAGCTTATTAAAGATAATAAAACATATCAAAAATCTAGATTTATCAACATGCCATAACTTATTTAAAAGTTATAGTGTTAAATTAAGTTAACCCTTTTATCAAACACCCTTCGTGCAAATATGATTTTTAATATATTAAACATGATAAAAATGTGAAACCTAACCATAGCCATTCCTTATTAGACAAGAAAAGAAGATTAAACAACAAAATAAGCACTTAATGAAAATACTAAACTTGGATTACCACCAAGATCCACACAAAGACCTCTAAAATCTCAAATTTAGGAGTCAAAACATGATTTAAAAGCACACCTTCATTTATATAGACCTTAGGCTCCAAGATTTCTTCAAAACCTTGAGTTTTAATGGAGTTTTCGGGGCTTTCACTTGAGCCTTAATCCTAATTACGGGATTGGAGTTTTCAAAGGATTAGGGAGGAGAAAAGAAGGTTCGGTTTCTGGTGTGGAAGAAAAAGAGAGAAAAAGTGGGTTTAAGAATATGAGAGAAGAGAGAGAGTGAAGGGCTGCATGAAAGAATTATATAAGTGGGAAATTTCAATCTTAGAACTGTGTCTGAGCTTGACCAGAAGAGAATGATGTGAACATCACGGATGCAAGACATACTCATCAAAGTCGATCCGGAAGAGAGCCAACTAGTCTTACACGTCCATTGAGCCATTCCGGAAGAGAGCCAATTAGTCTTACACGTCCAATAAGCCATTGCATGGCCAACTTGCATGCCAATCCAGGATACACGTGCAAGGGGGAATTTCAAGAAGTTAGATGTATTTTCCAGCCCGGGATAAAGTTATATTGATGATAAAGACTTGCCTTTATCATAATTCTATCTTTTTAGGTTTAATTTTCAAGTTTAAACATTTAAATTGCATAATAGGCGTTTTTTAGGAAGGAGTTGGAGTCAAATTCGGATTCTTTCCCTAGGATAAGCTTTAGGCTTGCGTTTATCTTATTTTTAGGTTTATCTTATTTTAGGCTTCTATCTCATTAAAGATAGAATATGACTTTTCAATTTTTAAACCTTTTTCAGCTTGTTTTCGGCTATTTAAGGCTGAAAATGAAATTAATAGAAAGTTTTGATGTTTATTCAGTTTGTGAGATATTTTTCTTAGTTCTTGAAGAACTATTCCGAACTTATCAAGGTTTTTCTTGTGGCGTTCACCCTTGACTTATCAAACGGAATTTCCATACTCGTTTGTGGCGTCTTCACCATACCAAGGTTCCTGCTTCGCTAAGCAACGGGTCACGGTTTCCATCAATTCTTGAAGATCTTGGATCGTATCCCATATTTGGCTACGGGTTTCGTCACATTGTTGGTGAGGTTCATATCAGAGAAGACCGGAGAAGAGAACGGAGAAATTAAGGAAGAGATCTCGTGTGAGAAGTGAATAGCAGAAAAAAAATTTCAGAGAAGAGAAAATTGAAATGGAAAAATGAAAACGAGTTTAGATCGTGCTCGTTTTCACAATGGTGGTAATTTTTAGGAAAAATACAAAAATGATTTTGTTTTCATTTCTGGTGTGTTGAACCAAATACTACTTTTATGTCATTTTCATTTTTCTTTCCTCGTTAAACAAGAAGAACATTTTTTAAAACAGAAACAAACAGGCCTATAGTGTTCAAGACAAAAAAAAAAAAAAAAAGTTTCCTTAAAAATATTAGGGACACTCCTATCTATATCTATATTAATGTACACAAAAGAGCAGGTCAATTGCGTTAAACAACGTTATACCTATTAATCTTCCGATGACAAACAATTGGATGCATTACGATTCAACTTCATGCACATAATAACTCAAGAACGTCACCTTTTTTTTTTGTTTTTGTTTTTGTTTTTTTCAACGTGATCGGTGTTAGCATACCAAAGAGGCTCCTTACACATTTGTAGTGAAGATCTATTATGGGGTCCCACCCACCCCTCGATGAAAATGTACTAACATTAAGTATATGTTATGGTTAAATACATTTTAGGTTGAATATTAGCCTCGCAAAAATAAATCTTTATATTTGAGACCCTCAAAACGGATCATTGAGTCTTTAACAACAGTGCCATCACAATAGTCCTTTGCAGTTGGGCTACCCACTCAATGGCTATTTTGTTTTTAATTTCTTGTTGCTATCCTTGTTCACGCATTTGGGCGATGTTCATTTACATCAAACGAATAAACGATGGCAGAACAACTGCAAATTATAAAAAAACCACTCAACATGGTAAAAAATATTATTTATATCACCTCATTTAAAAATAAATAATTGTCATTCAATTAATAAAAAAAAAACACTATAATAACATACATAATAAACCTACACAAAATCATAACAAATCATATATTTTTCTCGTATGCAATAAATGTTGGATTCATACCATATATGATTGTTATTAGCGAAGGATTGACTTGATCAAGTTTAAAAATCATTTATTTATATATTTTATATTCAATTAACAAAAGAGCTCTCCCACGCAGCGGATTCGGAAGTGGCAACCTCCGCCGGCGGGGTTGCTGAAGCTTAAAATGGTTTTGCAGGTCTAGTTGTGGTGTTAAGAAATCATGAGGGGGAGCCAATTTTAGCCTGGACCGGGATTGAGAAAGCTATTTCTCCTTTCCGTGCAAAGACTTTGGCCTGCTTTCGAGCGTTTTGAGTGACTGAATTAAGGGGACCTCAACCATAGACTGTGAAAGCGATTGCTTGGGACTGGTGTCTGCTTCATGTAAAGGCCTTCAATGTCCCCACTGGGAATGTACTCCTTGTTTGCTCTGTTTAGATATTTTAGACCCGTTTAGTAAATGTATTTAAACCCTTGATTTTGATTCTATTATAGTGTTTTTTCTATTACAAAGAATTTGAATTTAAAATTTTTTCGCTAATTGTTTTCTCATAAAGTTCCCGTTAATGAATCAAAATTACTGACTTGAACGCGTTAACTAAACGAGCCCTTAAGAATGTTAAGGTGGAGTCTTTTTCTTGGATTGAGAGGGCTTGTAATGAGTTAGCATATTGGTGAAAAAAGACAAATACTCCTTAATGTGCATAAGTCTAGACTTTTACCTCCAACTCTTGATTAATATCCATTTTCGTCAAAACTAACTTTAAATCAAGGTACCACGTCATCATGCTTACGTAGTACACTCATCCAATAAAAAGTTAACAAATGAAAGATTTTTTCTATGTAATTTTTATGTAATTAAGTTTTTCTTTCCTAATGTGTTTTACATTTATTATTTAGTTAAAACCAACTTAATTTCTATACTTAAATCTCTCATTTTTTTAACTAATATAATCTCTTAATATTAATTTACTTTGTGCGCTGGTTCAACAAACTTAGCAATTTAAGAGATTATACTGAAAATGTAAATTAATAATAATATACTTTGTGCGCTGGCTAAATCTCGTATTAATTTACCTAGTAAAGTTTTTTCCCCTCTTTGATAAATAACATTTTCAGCGTATAGTTGAACTGCAAAAAGCTAACTTGAGAAATTTGCACACATTGAGCCTCAATGTTTCGCACGACACAGATCAAGTTTAAGTAAAAGCACGGCATTGAAGCTTTTAGTGCAGATTGCAGGAGTTGGCTATTTTATTTATCAATAGAACTTAATAATATTACTATATTTTTTGAAATGGAATAATATTACTTTTTAGGAGTATTAATAACAAAATTTAACATTAATGTTATAAAAAAAATGATATTTAGAACCAAAATGTATATACATTTTCAAAGTGTAGGATTGTTGCCGCACATCCTTTTGGGGGTGAATCACAACTAGTATTACTAACAAGTTCTCCACTAGACAATCTCGCATTATTATTATTATTATTTTCTTGAAGCCGTTTTTTTTTATTATTATTATTATAATTGACATTCCTTTTACCACGTTATATACGAATTTTTTTTGTAAAAGAACAAATAATATTTAATGAAATATTTTACAGATTATATACACACACGTACATACATATATATAGTCAATCCTCAATCGTAAATGTTTTATATTTACTATTTTTTCTTAGTGTGATTGACTCGCTATCATTTTTCAAATTTTCTAAACTAATCTAAATGTATAAAATAGTTTTATAAAAGATTAAAAATATTGCTAATCAAAGTTAATTAATTTAAAAAATTATAGGTGGATTATTCTATGAGGATTTCAACTAAACAATAAATGTTAAAGAGAAACTTAATTAAATAAAAAAAACATCCAAATATTTTTTATTAAATAGGTACACCACATAAATATGATGACGAAGTACACCCGATTCACTGACTAATTTCACGGATAAATTTAGCAATTTTCTTCGACATAATTTCTTAGCTAGGTGGGCTTTGGGTGCAAACTTTGCTGGTTTTGTTTCATTTGGGATGGTGGGTCCTGTTGCCACCAAGTTACTCATTAGTGAGCTTGCTACTATATAAATAGCCTTTTATTCCCAAAAAAAAAAAAAAACAAAACAAAAACAAAAGAGTTAAACTAAATCAAATTAACCGATGAAGAATGAATTTGAGACATTTCAAAATTAGAGACTAAAACAAATTGAAATAAAGTTTAGAAGCAATTTTTGAAATTAACCATTAGAAATAAATTATTTTAACGATGAAACGATATTTTTCTAATGAAAAAAAATAAATAAAACCAAAGCACATTTAAACAAAACAATACAGCCCATCGTTATCATTGACCCACCGCTGATGCCACCGCCTAAGGGGAACGGAATGCTATTTTGACTCAAAAATTAATGTCGTGTTTGAAATTAATACTTTTTTTTATGCCTTTTAAAAAAATAAAAATAAAAATATTTTGAAAATAGCATTTAACGTTATAAAAATAAAAAAAATAAAAATAAAAATAATTTTTTAATTTAATATAAAATAAAATAAAAATAAAAAAACATTTTTAAAAATAAATTTTATTTAAAATTAAAAATATTTTTATTTTTATTTTCATATAAAAAATAAAATTATTTTAAAACGAATATAAACGTGTACTTTTCGATTGACTATCATTCGGCGGTAGGAAAGCTTTCCAGAAATGTTTGTTCTACAGTAAAATTAGGAATACCCAATTCGTAAAACTGATCAAATTTCAACATTTTTGGAGTTCGACAGTGAATTGAGTTAATGGGTTGGAGGTACAAGGCGGGTTTGGGGTTGATTGGCACCGTCGTTCTCATATGGGTCTCCTCTGCAGAGGTTACCCAGGTTTGGTTTTTTCTTCATACTTCTCGTGTCTCTTCTTGCTCTGTCTTTTTCGACTTTTTGACGGTTATGGTGGTTGGTTATCTTTTTTTTTTTTTTTTTTTTTTTTTTTTTTTCCTTCTTTTGTCATGGCAACTTGCCGTTGCTTTCTTGGTGTTTAGAAAAAAAGGTAGAAGAAGTAAAAAAGTTGTTGACTTTTCAAAAAACGTTTCTTTACTTTTATGAAACCCAAAACGGTTCAAAAAACGCATATTTGAAAATTCCTTGTAAGGATTCTTGTTGTTGCCGCGTTATCTCAGAACCAAAGAAATGGTTAATACTTAAAACATGTCACTCTCATTGACCCCAAATGAAGCCTGGAACTGAAAATTTTGAGGCTTTTTTTTTTCCCCCTTATGCAGCTTCTTAGCGGTTGGCACCAAAAATATTTGTCAACTCTGGCAGCCTTGGAATTGCCAAAAATCTCATAAATATGAAAGCCGGCAAATGCCTTGGAGATTATCTTTGTATTAATTGATGTTATAAAGAAATTTTAGAAAACCCAGATCGTATCTTAGATCAGAAATTCAAGGTTTTGGGATTTGGTAGTGGTTTGATTATGGGTTGGAGGTACAAGGCAGGTCTGGGGTTGATTGGTACTTTCGTCTTCTTATGGGTCTCCCACGCTGAGGTTACTCAGGTTTGGGATACTTCAATAAAATTGTTTGTTGCTTAAAGTTTTTTTTTTTTTAATAATTTTATGTAGGCCATGGGTGAATACTGAAGATCAAACTGTTTATTGCTAATTTTTCTGATTCACTTTTTTGCCCTTGAGAGGCATGGAAAGAGAAGTGAAAAAGTTTATGCTGTATATGAAAACCATTACTGAAGCCAGAAACAAATTACAAATCACTTTTAGAACTTGATATAATGATATCTACACCCTCCTCCATTCCCCCATATTTATGATAAAATTACCCCAGACATGATGGAATTTTGTGAATTAAATGGTCAATAAGTTTAGATTAAGCTCCCCTTTTTCCCTTTGCTTAAGGAAGCACGACTTCATTAATATACAGTGCTATTTCCTTCTGATCTTCGGTTTATTTTTGTTGTTGATTCTTAACTTATGGAATTTGTTTGCTGCAGAGAATTTTCGAAGAGTATAAACAACCATTTGCGCTAACTTATCTGGGAGTGTCTCTAATGGCTATATTATTACCCATCGCCGCTTTTAAAGACTGGATCTGCAGCTTACTGAACCCAAGATTACTTAGTAACTTTTACAATGACACTAGTGATATGAGTGCTTTGATAGGGGTTGATATTCCCCTTAGGACTAATGGAGTTTATCAGAGTCCAGAAAGTGATATGAGAATGCGTCTACTTACTGGAAAAGATCTTACTGACGAGGAAGAAGGGAGACTTTTAGATGCAACGAATGAAGAAGATAAGCCTCACTTGCTCAAACAATCTTCTGAGTACAGTTCATGGGAAATTGCAAAGTACTGCCTATATCTAGCCCCAATATGGTTCTTCACAGAGGTAGAATTGAGTCCTTTTTTCTTTTCTTTTTTTCTCTAGTAAATGTCGCCTTTGGAGTTTTCACGTGTATTAAATTTCTATAGGAATGGCATTTGGACGAATTACTTACGCCTCGTTCATTTTATCAATTCGAGTTTTCAATTCCAGTTTTGTTACAGTTAAAAGCTCTCATAAAAAGTCTTCAACTTTTTCTGCTACAGTTTAAAGATCTCACGTAAAATCACATCTCAGCTCGGATTGAAAACTCAAATCGTCAAACTTTTTCTGCTATTTGTGCACTAATTCCAGCTTAGTCAGTATCGGTGTTGCCAAATCATTATAAAAAAATAAAATAATATCAATATTCCCAAATTGATCCGTATAAAAAAATAAATAATATCGGTATTTCCAAATTGATCTCTATATTGATAAGGAACACATACTTCCATTACCTTGTTTATAATTAAGACAATCTCGGGGATAGGCCAGACTCATAATCTAACCTTACATCTATTTAGCATCTACCCAATAAATTTCTTGTTCGATTTTTCCTCGTTTAGCTGTCTTTACTTTGTATGTTAGTTTGATGTGGTCTAGCGATATGCATTTCTGGTAATTGAGGCCTTTCTGAAGCTGGATATGACGCGGTTCAATTGTTTTGTTTGATGCAGTATTTCTCAAACTCCGCATTGGCAAATACTAGCGTTGCAAGTACCACTGTCCTAACGTCTACATCAGGGTTATTTACACTCTTTTTCGGAGCTTTTATTGGTCAGGACTCCATAAGTATACCAAAGGTGGTTGCTGTTTTTATCAGCATGGCCGGTGTTGCCATGACCACTGTTGGAAAAACCTGGGCACCTGATGAACTTTTAAGTGTTGCAGAGTAAGTTTATAGTTGCTTAAGAGATCAACAATAGGCCTTTGTCTTTTCCTCTTAATTTTCTTCCTTATCAGTCTCCAAATATACAATCAAATTTTATTTTATTTTATTTTTTGTGGTAATAACTTGCAGACCACATATAGCATGCATATTCTCTTTTAGTAGACAATGGGTTTTTGTTACTTGGTACTTCTCTGTATAAGGATTTCAAGTTGCAAAATTAAAATGTTTGTCCTTTTTTTATGCTCATATAAGAGTGTCTTGTAACCGCTGTAGATGTGTTGTTCTAGTAGTTGGTCTTTCCAAGTTTTTTATGGTTATTCCTGACACTATGCTGCTTTTGCTTGTCAAGGACTAGAAAGCATTCTATAACAGGAGATATATTTGGTCTTCTCTCAGCAATATTATATGGCTTATTTACAGGCAAGGCTTCTATTTTGAAATCCTGTGTAAATTCTCCCGCACGATTATTAATACTTTTTCTGTGGTTCAAGCAGTGCTGCTTAAGAAATTCGCTGGATCTGAAGGAGATAAGGGTGATGTGCAAAAATTCTTTGGATATATTGGCCTCTTCACTTTTCTTGGTCTTTGGTGGCTTGGTGAGTGGATTAGTGGACTAGTAATTTTCTAGTGATCCATTTCATTTCTGTCATTGCCAATTTGTTAGGTTACCAAATTCTTATTTTTCACGGTACATCTTTAAAACATGCTCTTGGCTCCCATTTTTCTCTTTTAGAGTTGCCTTTCTAACATGATCACCATTCTTGCAGTGTGGCCGCTGAATGCCCTTGGGATTGAGCCTCCTTTTAGCTTTCCGCATTCAGAATCAATGGGGGAAGTTGTGCTATTGAATGGCTTTGTGGGAAGTGTCCTTTCTGATTACTTTTGGTATGCAAAACCACCTCCATATGTATAAATGTTTTAGTGAACAAGACCAGAATATAGAAACCTCACTTTCTGTTTTCTTTTACTGTTCAAAAATTAACCTTTTGCCTACCTGCAGAGATGAGGCAATTGAACTTGTATAATCATTTTCAAAGTAAAAAAATGAAGTGTGTATGGTGCAGGATTTGGTACTCTGTAGTGATGTGCCTAAATAATGGCTTAAATTCTGTTCCATCAACGTCTTTTCCGACTTTTTAACTGCAAGCTATGCCTATCCGGTTCTTTCTCCAACAGACTAACACCCACTAAAACATTAACAGGGCTCTTTCTGTGGTATGGACGTCTCCTTTAGTTGCAACATTGGGCATGTCCTTGACAATTCCCCTTGCAATGGTGGCGGACATGGTAATACATGGCCGTCATTTTTCCGCTATCTACATCGCTGGCTGCGTCCAGGTATACTCACCTTTTTTACCTATTCTCAGTCAATATCTTTCTTTCTTGCGGTCCTTTACCCATTAGTCTTATTACTCACGAGAAAACCAAATATTGGCTTTTGTTCTTTACTCAATATTAATATGAGTCACTTTTCAACTTTGCGGGGCTTGATCTTTTGAGTCTTAGAAATGGTAGTTTGGTGGGACACACCCAGTATAAGGAATAAAGAAAAGGAATGTCAATGTTTGCACTCCTTTGATATTAATTTTCAGTTTATGCCTTATGGTAATGATGCTAAATTTACTTATATAGCTTTGATATGTTCGCATATCGTAAGTCGACCATTCTAATAGGTAGTACACACCAAAAAAGAAATTTTAATGATCCTGAGTCTTAGTACTTTACAAACTCATTACCTTTTCTATTGCTTCCATCACGGTTTGGTAAGTGTGCTCGTAACCTCAAGTTAGTTGCGAAGTCAAAGATTTCGAAAGTTTACGCAATCCTTTTTGTGCAATATAGTTCATTTTTATCTCAATGAAGATCGCATTGACTATACATTGACAATTTCAGGTTTTCGCGGGTTTTGTGGTGGCAAATCTCTCCGACAAGTTTTTTCACCAGGCAGAATTGTAACAGTTATTCATGAACTTCTGGGCAGCAGAAGTTTAGACGTAGGACTCAGATGTACACATGAAACATTTGGGAGCATCAGTGCTCTCTTTTCTCATGTACTGATTATCTCATGGCATACAACTATGCGGATACAACCTCCATTAAAAAACAACATTGTAAAGCATTATGCTAAACCGGTGCCATTAGGACTGTTCATCAAACCTGCCAACCCGCTCAAACCAGTTGTACCATTTCTGTTCCGTTAGTTAAAACGGATCCACGTTACCATCCGCTTTGTTGGATGGGTAGTCTATCTAGGGTGTCCACAGAATCCGTCAGTCCGATTGATCTATGAAATCCAATGCAATCTAAAGTTTTGGGTTATATTGAAAAAAGTTTTGGATTAGACATGGATTGAGATTTTCCTAATATGAAAGTTTTGAATCGGATTGTGGATTGAGCACTTTTCAATCTGGGAATCCAAAACCATATATGTATAATTTATATGTTTATATGTATATCATATTTTTCAGTTAAGTTTTTTAATTTTATTTTTAAAAACTCTGTATCTGTAACACATATATAAGTTTAATGGTCCATATTCCTAATTAACGTCCAATCCATAATGAAACCGTATAGCTCTTAAAGCTCAATCCATACAGGCAGCAGCTCCCTGTCTCTCTCCGCCTCCTCTATTTCACGATACACATCTTAAGGGGGGAAAAAAAACCTCAAAGGTTGCACTGCAGTGTCTCTCCAACTCTGATAAATGATGAAGAGTTCATATTGTGTTTTATTTTATATGGATGTTGATACTCAATTTTGTATCATGCCTATTTGACGGTCCACGTCTAATTATGGTGTCACACGATGTTATTAAACTCGCTTTGTGGACTCAAGCTACGCTCAGGGAACTTCTGTGAGTTGTGGTTTAGTGAGCCATGTGTGATTAAGTAGGCCTATTTTTCGTTTAATTCGATCTAATTTGAATCCTGCTTGAGATGTTTTCAGAATTAATTGGATTAAATACAAACGGATAATGGAGAATTCCAAAAAAGCCTTCCTCCCGTCCTTTTGGAAGCCTAAAATTCCTAAGTACAGGCCTTAGAACCCTATTCCCCTTCGTCAATGTTGATTCTAAGTGTTTTGACTCCAACGGAGACTTTACCTACGCCAGACATGCCTAATGGAGGCTCCCTTCATGGCAGGCATGTCTCCCGGAGCATCCTCTTCATATCCAAGTATGCCTAACGGAGCTTTTTCCATGTTAGGCATCCTTCGCTGGAGCACGCTTATTGTCGGAGCAGCTTCATTCGGAGTAACTTTTATGTTAGAGCCAACTTAACGGCTGCTTAGCTAATATCGTATAAACCATCTATGAATAGTGTTACTAAGTTGGATGATGGTGACTTTCTCTTCATTTTGGAAGTATTTCCTAGCGTCCTCTGGAGTGACGCCGTGAGCATGCTACTTCAAGATGGTGAAAACGTTGTCGTGAGTGATCAGCCTGTCGGATGCTTGCTCTGAAGGCTTGGGTGCTTCGGCAGCGGAGGCTTTTTGCGGAGTAGCATCTTTTCAGCGAGACCCGTAGTAGGGTCCTTGTCAAAGTGCTCTCGGAGCGAGTTCACTCCGGAGAGGATTTCGTTGCGAGATTCTCCAAGGATTCAGAGCGTAGCCACAATGTCTAGGATTGTGGGTTACTCGCCCTCCTCTTGGTTGGTAGTATTGAGAGTGTCACGTTGCGAAGTGGAGTCTTCCATATCGTGAGAAGTGTCTTTGACGCGAATGCAGAGTCACTCTAATGTCTCGATCCGGTAGATCCGGAAGGTCGGCGTGTATGGGGTTGGCATGCATAAGCACGCGGTTTGTCAGAAGCGGATCCGACGTGGCGGAACCTCCAACGAAGAAGTGGGTCGGTTAAGCTCAAATTTGGCCGAAGGACGAGTGTCCTAGGACCCTCTTATTCGCCGAAATGATGAAAATACCCTGTAAAATATGTTAGAGAATCCGCATACATAAATAAAAGACCTCTGGAGGTGAAGAATGGTGGGAGGTGCAACCAAGTAGTTGATGGAGAAGGAGAAGAGGAGGCCGAAGGTGCCTTGATAGAGCAGTGCTCTGGAGACAAGCGCGGGCTGCTCCAGGAGTGAAGATGGTGACTCAAGTGGTGGATAAGGCGTGGAGGAGAGTGAGAGTGAAGTTGGTGAGGTGGATAAGGCTCTGGTGAAGGGAACTCCAAGAGCAGCGCGTGTTGCTATGGGAGTGTTAACGGCACTCGGAGCACTTGCTCCAATGATGAGCAGAAGTGGCCCTAAAAATGAAAACTTGAAATGTGTGAAGAAACTTTGAAGAGTTTAAAGATGGTGGTGGAAATGGATTAAAAAGTGTTTTGGAAAAGTTTCTATGGCTGTCAACACTTAGAGACTTTGAAGAGCTTGAAGAACTTTAAGTCTCTGTAGCAAGAAACTAGAGAAGTCTGAAGGAGGAGAGAGAGTGATATGAAGAGGATGAAGACAGTGGTTGGTGATGATAATGGATTCACCTTATGAAATGAAAGAGATGGGGGCTCAAAGGTTTCAGGTCATCTGGAATGAGGAAGATGAGAATATTTATAGGTGAAGTTGGTAGGATTTTGGTGGCAGCTCCGGAGGTTCGTATAGTGTGCTCTGACGGACACCTGCACAAGCAATCCCGATAGAGTAAAGCCTTCTGGCACCTTTCTGGAGTTGAAAAAAAGATTGGCCAAAAATGGAATGAAGACTTCTGGGCACTTGCTCTAGAGGTGGATTGGTGGCGCTCTGAAAGATGCATGCATACACGATCCAAATGGAGCAAAGTTACCATAAGCCTTTCTGGGGTTGAAAAAGAGTTGGTCCGGAAATGGAAAGAAAGGTTCATGGTGGCTGCTCCGAAGCCCAATCGGCGGCGCTCCGATGGAGACTTGTAGACGCAATTCCCTTTGGAGCAAGGTGATTAAGTGACTTTCTGGATTAACAAAGAAAATACCCAAAATGGAAAGACTTGGACGTAAAGTTTTAGATTTGGAGCTGATGTGAAGAGTTTCAATGTTTGAAATTCTCAAGAGTATTTGACTCAACTTTGTACTCCATTGACTTCTTGTTTCGCAGGTCTGATCGCATGTCAGACCTTGTCAGAGATGGTTTATACAATATTGGCTAAGCAGCCGTTAAGTTAGCTCTGACACGAAAGTTGTTCTGATGGTAAGTGTGCTCCAAACGAAGGTTGCTCCGGGTGAAGCTGCTCTGAAGGGTGAGCATGCTCTAGGCGAAGATTGCTCCGATGGTGAGCTGGGCGAGAAGAAGTCCAAAGGAAGGATGTCTGACACGGAAAATGCTCTGTTAGGCATACTTGAATATGAAGAGGATGCTCCGGGAGACATGCCTGCCACGAAGGGAGCCTTCATTAGGCATGTCTGGTGCGGGTAGAGCCGCCGTTGGAGTCAAAACATTGAGAATCAACCTTGATGAAGAGGAAGAGGTTTCAAGACGTGGACTTAAGGATTTTAGGCTTCCAAAAGGACGAGAAGAAGACTTTTTAGGAATTCTTCATCATCCATTTGTATTTAATCTGATTAATTTTGAAACCTCTCCAAGCGGGAGCCATGGTTAGGCCTAGACTCTTAAATGGGCCTGATATAAAATCGGGTATCAACAATGCTTTACTATAGTAAACTAGAATTAAAAATTTAAATAGGAGAAAATAAGACCTTAATCTAATATGAGGGTATTTTTAGAAAGGTGAGGGAAAAAACCGTGGATGGTCCGAACACAGAAAACCGAACCCGAGAGAGCATATACGGAGATGCCCAATCCATGAATATCAGCAAACAGGGACAGAACTCAGAAGAGCGAGTGAATCGAAAGTCGAAAATCAGCTCAAAGGAAACTTTTTTTGGAGTGAAGAAGACGAGAGAAATGGAAAAAGGCAAAGCAGTGATGGGAGTGGGTCGTCGATGGGCCGTTGACTTCTCCGACTATTCTTCTTCTCCTTCTTCCCGCGACTTCCCTGATCCTCCCGGCTTCTCTCGCTCCTCTCTCGATCAGGTTCTCTTTCTTTCTTCTCTTTATAATTTTGGGATTTTCTTTCTTTTTTTTCCTAACAAATTTTGGTTAATTGGGTATTTTCTAGGACGATTCCGCTGTGAGTCGCCAAAAGAAGGATGCCGAAGCTAATTGGAAAGCCCAGGTATTTCTTTTCCTAATTCTATTTCACTGTTTTTCCCCATTCCAAGTCAATTTTCTCGTATGGAGGTTTTAGGGTTAATTAAAGAGAGGGATAAAGACGACGCTAGGGAAATAATTGTTAATTAGTTTACAAATTTCAATCCGAGACTTTTTAATTTTTAATTTTTTTTCCCTTCCTGCGAGATTCAATTGGAATCTAAGCAGCTCTTTCGTCCGATTGAAGATTAGCTACCTCCAGAATTCAATTTCGGAATATAACGTGACAAGATTCGAATATCTATTGATTGAATATCATTTTCATCGGGAAACATTTATTTGTGGACAAGATTATGTTTTGTTTACTCAATTTGTCGTAGATTGTTCTAGGGAAAAAAAAAGAAAAAAAAAAAAAGAAAAGAGTGGATTGAGTAATTGGCCATCTCACTACTCGCTTCAAGTGAATTTGCCTTTTGGCTGAGAAACCAGATCAAGAGTGCGGCGGTAATCTAACATCGCGGGTGCTGTGTTTCTCAACAGAAAGCTTGGGAGGTGGCGCAGGCCCCTTTGAAAAATTTGATGATGATGGGGTTCATGATGTGGATGGCTGGAAGTACAGTGCATTTGTTTAGCATTGGAATTACTTTCTCTGCTCTTTGGCAGCCCATAAGTGCATTACAGGGCGTCGGAAAGGGTAAGATGTTATACTAATTCTGTACTTGTAGTTGTCTGTTTTCTCTTTTAGATCTCATACTTGTTTCAACTCTTAATTCTATATGCCTAGAATGACTTGTTAGAGAGGAAGAGTAAGAAAGCAATCAAAGGGTAGATTGTTTGTTATCTTGGTGCAAATTCATTTAGTTGGTATAGGTAGATCAATGGGTGAAACTTTACCTTTCAAATTCTAACTATATTCTGTATTTGTTACATTTTGCTTTGATTCTGCAGTTTTTGAGCCTTATAAAGACAGCAAGGTAGATCTCCTTGTCCCTAAGTTGCTATTCATTGCCCTTAATTTGGTGGGTCTGGCACTAGGTGTTTGGAAGGTGAGTAATCGCTCCATCTCTTTCAGTTTCTTCATTTCATAGTAATTTTCAAGGTTTTTAGTTTGTATAACTTTTTCTTTCTTCATCTTGGCAGCTTAACACTTTGGGGTTGCTTCCTACGCATGCGTCAGACTGGGTTTCATCTTTACCTCCCGCTCCGGTACAATTCTTCTTAAGCGGATGAGTTAATTTACATGTGGTATTTGCTTGATGTATGATGGGTCTGATATTTGCTTATTTTCAATAACCTATTACTAAAAGGCTTTTGGGCAGTTTTAGGGAGGTCTACGTCTTTAAGAGATTTTTTGGTAGGAGGGAAAAGTGAGAGGAGAGAGACGTAGGGGATCAGTGGAAGGATTTTAGGACCTATTGTTGTGGATGGAATTTATCCACTGAATTATACTGCAGTGTCAAATTAGTTCATTACTAAATATTGAAACTGAATATTGAAGGAAATAAAACTAACTTAGGATAAAATGGCTATGGTATTCATAAAATCTTTTCGTTTCCTTGTGTCTTCTACCAGACGAGAGAAGTTTTTTTTTTCTCCTTTTTTTTCTTACCAAGAACCACAGGAGAAAGGACCTCTCCCCCTTCTATATTTCCTTCTCCTAGGTTACTACCTCTCGCTCCATATTTTCTTTTCTCCTACCAAACAAGGTCCAAGTTTTTTTAAGCGCTAACTAAGTGCTCCTTGTATGTCCTACTGTTTTTGAGAAGTAAAAACAAATTTGCACAAACAATATTTCTTTTCTTTTATCAGAGAACTAAACTCCTATAAACGTACTGGGATTTAACAACAGTACTTCAATAAAACAAGAGTTAGAGGAGTTACATTTCGTAGTTATGAGAATTAAGGCGTTATTTACATGTCATTGAATGGAAAGAGAATGGATGTAGTGTTTCCCTTTCCTTCCATTCATGTGTTTACTTACTAAAATAGGAATTCACATGTAGTTCCTACTTCCTAATGTTCAAGTATACACTTGAATCAGATATTTGTGTTCCTCTTCTTTTCCTTTTCGAACCTTTTCCCTTTCCAATTACAATCCATAACGAATTGATAAAACATTACATGCATGCGATAAACGCTTGCAAATAGTGATAGCTATTAAAGAAAAAGAAGGAAGCAAAACATTGTTTTGAAAAACCAGTTTATGTAGGATTGGGCATCCCTGTTAAAAGAACTATACAACAACAACAAGCCTTAATTCCAACTTAATTGGGATCGGCTATATGGATTTCACTTTTCCACACGGTTCTGTCCGAAATTAAACTTTCCTGAAGGCCTAGATCTAGAATGTCTTTCCTAACGACTTCAGCCCACGTAATTCTTGGTCTATCCCTCCATCTCCTAGTATTAGGTATAAGAATGTCCTCCCAAGCACGAACTGGTGCTTCTAGCGGTCTACGTTGGACATGTCCGTACCACCTCAAGTGGCATTCGCGCACCTTATCTTCTATTGGTGCTACACCTACTTTACTACGAATAACTTCATTCCTTATACGATCCATTCTCGTATGGCCACTCATCCATCATAACATACGCATTTCTGTCACTCATCTTAAATATATGATGTCTCTTAATGGCCCAACATTCACCACCATATAATATAGCTGGGCAGATTACAATCGTATAGAACTTTCCTTTCAACTTAATAGGCATCTTCCCATCATATAAAACTCCCGTAGCATTTTTTCACTTAACCCACTCTGTCTTAATCCTATGTTGAATATCCTCTTCTATATCTTCTTCGTACTGTACTATAGACCTAAGGTATCTAAACTTTCTAGAAGCCCCAATCTCCACACCATCTAAAGAAATTTCATCACTCTGATTACTTGAGTTACTAAACCTACAATGCATGTATTCAGTTTTCGCCCTACTTAATTTAAATCTCTTCGTCTCGAGAGTCTGTCTCCACAGGTCTAACTTACGGTTGACTCCTTCGCTATGTTCATCAACTAAAACTATATCATCCGCAAAAAGCATACACCAAGGAACTCTATCTTGGATTTCTCTTGTCAGCTCATCCATCACGATGGTGAAAAGATAAAGACTAAGAGCAGATCCTTGATGAAGGCCGATCCGAATGGGGAACTCTGCCGTGTAGCTTCCAGCAGTCCTCACACTCGTGACCGCCCTATCGTACATGTCCTTAATTACCTTAATATACCTCACATGCACTCCTCTCTTTTCTAGCACCCACCATAAAACTTCTCTCGGCACCCTATCATATGCCTTTTCTAAATCTATAAAGACCATATGCAGGTCCGTCTTGACTTCTCTATACCTTTCCATCAGCATCCTAAGAAGAAAAATGACTTCCGTGGTTGATCTGACTGGCATAAAGCCAAATTGGTTACTTGAGATGGTAGTTGTGGCCCTTAATCTCTTTTCGATAACTATCTCCCAAAGTTTCATAGTGACTTATTAACTTTATGTTCCTATAATTATTACAGTTCAACACATCTCCTTTATTCTTGAAGATAGGGGCAAGAATACTTTTCCTCTATGCATCAGGCAAATGCTTCTTCTTTAGTATCTCATTAAAAAGCTTAGTGAGCCACACAATTGCAGCATCTCCTAACGCCATCCAAACCTCTATTAGAATATCATCTGGCCCACGATGTCTTTTCCTTTTTCATCTTCCGTAGTGTAATTTTAACTTTCGAGACTTTGATTCCTCTTGTATACATCACATTAGGTTTTTCTTGTGACGTAAGATTGTCAAAGTCCCTGTTAAAAGAACTATAATGAGGTATTATTAGAGGACACGAGACATTCTACTAATACAAATAATGTTGTGCGCATTCGTTTCTGATTTGAAAATGATATGCTAATTTCTTTACCACACAGATTTAGGCTCTTGAATGCCATGATTTATTTAGTCCTTAAAATGTATAATATAGGGAAGGGCCATTGGCAGTGTTTTTTTTTATTTTATTATTGCTTGGCTTAGAGGCAAAATTGAGCCTTATGTGCCATGGATTTCTTTTGGAAGCTTTGTAGCTAATTTAGCAGAGATGGGTTTCATCTAATAACTTTTTCTTGTCTAATTTTCAGGAGGTTGAGTATTCCGGCGGTGGTATTCCTCTGCGTTGATATTGATTTATTATTTTGTTTGAACATGGATCAATCTCTGGAGAGAACGAGTTAGACATTACCAAAGCAGGAAATATATGCAGGCTATTGAGGCTGTTTAGTGGCTGAGCACAGCATGGAAGATGAACCAAATTAGGTTATTTTTTGAGTGACAATAATGAAACTTGTGGGGATGAAGACTAGTTTTGTAGTGCAATTGTTATCTTTATCTTACTCATTCGATAATGATGAATTTTCTATCTATGACACGTTTTTAGCACGTTGATGTTGATGGTAACTGATGGATCTATTGATTTACCAAAATAAAAAATAAAAATAAAAACAAAGAAAGAAGGAAAAAGGAGACAAAAGGAATGTTAAATACACGCTAACCTAATCTTTTGATACATGTGGTCTTTATTTTTTTAAAGTAAATTAACTTAATAATAACTCACTCTTTTTACACTTAGGTATAAGAGTGTCATTTCTCTTTAAATTAGACTACAATACAAATGCTGTCTTCGGAGCATGCCATGTGTCCGTTATTTTCTATAAAAACGCACTAATGACCATTTTTCAGAACATAATTGAAATGCCATTCTAATGCTTCGTTCACTTCGCGGATTCAAATTTTCAATTCAAGTTGAGATGTGATATTTTTTTAGAGGTTTTTATTATAGCAGAAAAAGTTAAATGTAACATTTTTTGAGAGTTTTTTACTGTAAAAATTTAAAACTGAAAACTTAAATCGGTGAGCATTGCAACTAACGACTTCAAAGTTGATCAATAGTCTTCATAGAAACCAGATTCATGTAATGGGCATTCTCAAGATGAGGTTTTTTGACGAATTTTTTAGCCTCAATCGTTTTACTTTTACAATTAAAAATTATCAAAAAATATTACATTTAATATTTTTTATTATAATAAATTTTAAAAAAAAAATATCATATCTCAAATTAAATTAAAATTTTAAACCTATAAAGCCAGCGAAGACTTTTGTGTTCCTTTTATTTTTCCAAAAGGCACTCAAATTTGACTAGCTCTTGTCCATCAGAATCAACAATAATCTTCGTACGAATGGCAAGGCATAGTTGACATAAAATCAGCGTTCTCAAGCTCTGCAAAAGACATGCTTCGAGTACCTTCTTTTTTCCAACTCGATTCTTGGGAGATAAACTGAGAGAATGACAAGTTTGTAATTTGGTTTAAAAAGATGGAACTTTTTATAGACAAAAACTCCGTCTGTGCTAGCGTCTGGATTAGGGTATGAGGTTAGCATCTCTAGAGTGTATATATTTTTATCTTTTATTTTTAATTAATATTTTTTTAGTTAAATAAATATAGTAATTAAAATGGCTAAAAGTAATAAATAAGAATCATGACCCACATACTGCTTTTAAGATTAAATTCAAAAATTTTCTCAAGAAAAAGAAGAGATAAATTAATGGACTCTTGGAATTTGAATCTTGTTTGAGAAATTTTTGGACATATAACATATTCTTACTAGTCAAGTCAACATATAACAAAACAATTATAGTACTTATATCAATTACTACATAATTATGTTACTTATATTTTTTAAAAACTTTTGACATTAAGGTTAAAACTTGTACATGAATTTGATATGTTGGCTAAAAATTGTGATCGGTATTTTCTTATAACACATCAAAGTAGGAGAAGAGTGTGAAGAAATGATAACTTGGAACAACAACACTATGAAAATTATATTAATTAAGAGTCAATTAGAGATTAAATTGCAGGTAACATGGGCTGGGTCGAATGAAAATTTTGAGCCGGATCGGGTCGACCTTAAAGGGGAGATGACTTGCCTAGCCTTTCGACCAGAAATTTTATAAGTTATTTTCAAAAAAATAAAAAAAAAAGTGTTTTGAGTCCCCCGAATAAGCTTTCAGCTCAAAACTTTGGCCCGCCTTGTTTCATATGTTAGGGCCGGAGCGGGCCAACAATAACGGGTCTTGAGCCGGCTTGTTTGGCGAGGCTTAAACTTGATATCACTCGAAATTATATGAGAAATGACGATAAAGTTTAACAACTGAAAACGACTTGAATTGAAAAAAAAAAAAAAACCAACAACAACAGTAAACCAAAAACAATATTAACGGAAAAACGACATCTTCTTCAAACAAAAATAACCTTTAAAACGTCATCAACAAAAGACGACTCAAAAAGATAGACAACAAAAAGAAAATAAACTCTAGAGACGAGACAACAAAAACGACAACAATTTCAAAACGACACAAAAAGATGACTACAACATAAGAATTGACAACTACTGCAAACGACAATAAACTAAAAACCACAATTCAAGAAACGACGGGGACTAAAAAATAAAGAACTTTTATTATAGATAGAACTAGTAAAAGTAGGCATTGCACGTGTTAGTTACAATAGGGTGTGAATTTTACTATCATATTTATTGTCTATTAGATAATAATTTTATAATGTAAACAAATAAGTTTAAACTAATCATCCTACTCTATTAATAGCTTAAAAGATAAAAAGAATTGCATTGAGAGAGTATAATAATTTAAAAAAGTTATAAATATGATTAATATTTTATTTATTATTTGAAATACATAGTAAAAAAAAGTAATTGATCCACATGATAATGGTCAACATAAAATGTACGATTTACTCATTAAAAAATAGAAACTCGTTGTACACTAATTTTATAACAGTAAATTTTTGAAATTTTTTATGCCTCATTTGTTTTGTTGATTCGAGTTGAGATGTAATTTTATGTGAAAGTTTTTTACTGTAACAAAAAAATTAAATGTGATTATTTATGAAAACTTTTTACTGTAGTAAAACTTAAATTCTAAACTCAAATCAGTAAAAGACTAGAAATTAAGACCACAACTGTGCCCACTATAATTTAGGGACAAATAATCCTCCTTACGGAAAAAAAAAAAAAAAAAAGTAAGGCTAAATGAGTAAATTTGCCACTATGGTTCTCCCCGGACGCCACACAACACAATAAGAAACACACAAAAAAAAATAAAAAAAATAAAAAAACGACACACACACACACACAAAAATCCACTTGCAGAGAGTCGACCGTGCAAATCTCGTAATCTCGTACAATCAGAGATGGAGATGACACCCCAAGAACTCCTCCAATACAACGGCAGCGACCCTTCGAAGCCCATCTACGTGGCGGTGAAGGGACGCATCTTCGACGTCACCGCCGGCAAGTCCTTCTACGGTCCCGGCGGTCCGTACGCCGTGTTCGCCGGCAAGGACGCGAGCCGTGCTCTGGCCAAGATGAGCAAGAACGAAGAAGACGTCTCTCCTTCCCTCGAAGGCCTCTCCGACAAGGAGATCGGCGTCCTCAACGACTGGGAGAAGAAGTTCGAAGCCAAGTACACCGTTGTTGGTCGTCTCGCTTCTTAAGATTATTATTCCCTAGCTTTGATGACTTTATGTTTGTTTTCTCTTATGATTTCTGTAATTATTTTGTGGCATTTTACTTTTTGGCTTCTGGGTATCTGTAATAACGTGGAAATTTCTAAACTTTGTTGGTGTACCTGATCTTGGATGCTGGCTATGAATGAATGGATGTGGATTATAATAATAAATTAACGTGAGTAATTGAGCAATTTTTTCTTTTTTTCGCTTTCCACTTTGATGAGTGGACAATAGATTATATATCTTCATCAGGTCTCCTTAAATTATCATATTTTTCTTAAGCTGATATAATTCTTGATGGACCTCACATTTGAGAGATATTGAGAGTTTTGTTTGCATTTGTTCGACTAATTATTGGTCTGATTCTTTTACATATAAGTTTCCTTCTGGTTTGGTCACTCTTTGTGCGTTTCATATGAGCAACTTTAGGCCATTTTTGGCTTGATCTTGAAATTCATGGTGGCTAGGCTATGAATAATATATGAAGCTTAAAATTGGTGTTCTTCTCTTTTTGTAGCATAATGATCCTATTATTCTGCATTATGAGTACTTTTTTGCTAGAACGCATTATGAGTACTTATTTGCACACTTAAGCACTTGTGTTTTGGCTTACTCGTAGTTGTAGTCTTTGATCAAGGGAAAACAGAAGCTAAGCCTCATGTTTTCTTCTTGATTGCTTGTCTTTGGTATTCATTCTTCAGTCTACATCAAATGCTCATGGTTTCAACTGTCCGGTTTCGTTTCTAGTTACCGGTATTGATGATTTCTTCTCAGTTTAAAATTTTCATGTTTTTGAACTGCTTCTACCACTGAGACTGTGCTGAAGAAATTGGCAAATAATTGGGAACTTCAATGCTCCAGGGTGTTCAGTTTCTCATTAAAGAACTTGTTGAAACATTTTTTCATTCTTCTTTCTTTAATTTCAGAAATCATGGACCAAACAATGAGTCATAATGGTGGCTTCAATGAAGCCTTGAAGGAATCAAAGCTTCCTCTCTTTATGAAGTTCAATACTTGAAAACTTTCATTAGCTTTGCCTATCATGATAATTTACTGCTATCAGTAATTGGCGCATGTTTTTCTATCTTTTCTTTTTCCTTGTTCTTGGTCGTCGTCTTCTTTTTTAGTTGGAACATGGCATATGGGCTTGCTTTGGTAATGATTTGCTTTTCTACATCTCTCATGGCCTTGCTGGCATCTATATTAACCAGGAAGAAGGTCTCAAAGGCACAAGTATATGAACAAGATTTTGGAATTCAAGGTGGCCCCTTTCTTTCAAAGCTTGAGAGTTGAAAGTGACAACATTTTCAGAGTTATTTTTCTTCTTTGCTGAAGTTTTGTGCTTTTTAGTTGCAAGCACAATGATTTAACAGGTGGAATGGCATGCCTATTATGATTATAGGGATTGCAGTGAGAATCAAATGATAAAGAAACTTCTCAAGTTTGTTAACAAACGAAGTCATGAAAACAAAGTTTTCCAAATAACAGGACTTGAAATTCGTCCAATTAATGGATTTTAACGATCATTAAAAGATAAAGTAGTGTTTTTAATTCTAGTTTTGTTACAGTTAAAAATTCTTATAAAAAGTCACATCTAATTTTTTTGTTACAGTTACAAATTCTTATATAAAGTCACATCTCAACTCAAATTAGTGAATTGAATGAGGCCGTAAATTGTCATATTTTTAATGTAATCTCTTATTATTAATTGATATGAAAAATGACGTCAATATTAGACTTTCACAAGTGTACAAAGACGACTATCCTCATTGAATGGCCGAATACTTTCAGGACGGTTGCTTTCAGTTTAGTTTAACAAATTTACGCACTTTAATTTGCAAGCCAAAGATGAAGAGGAGAAAAGGATTGGCCTTTTCTTTTTGTTTACTTTTTGGGGTTTATTTTTTTTAATTTCATTTTTCAGACACTCAAACAAACCGCATGCAGCTTTTCTTTTCGGTTTAATGCCATTTGAAGTCTCAGTGGATTTTTATTCATTTTTTAATTTTAAGAAAGTCATCCTCATCATAGGAAATTTGCAGTAAAAAAAGGTTGATCAATCAAAACCACTAGCTAGCTAGCTGTAGTTTCATCACAGATCATCAACTAACCGTAACTGAAATCATTGTTCGACAGATTTTCTTTTTTCCTTTCGCACCGGAACTGAAAAATTCCTCATTATTTTTTGTTTATTCTTTTTTATCTCGTTCATTTCACTGATTCGAGTTTTTAATTATAAATTTTTACAGTAAAAAATTCTTAAAAAATATCATATTTAACTTTTTCTGTTACAGTGAAAAGTTCTCACAAAATATCACATCTTAACTCAAATTAAAAACTCAAATTTATAAAGTGAACGAGACCTTAAACTACGAATGAACTAAATTTTAATAAGAAAAATAAATTTTTTTTGATAAATTTCTTTATTAGTGTTAATTTTTAACTGTTAATTAATTAAAATTATATTTAATAAAAAATATGTAAAATAAATAATTTTTAATATAAATTTAATAATTAAAAAATAAAAAAAAATACTGCTACGATATTTTTTTCTAGCCTTCGTAGAGAAATTCCAAAGAAAAAAAAAAGAGTAAAAATCGAAAAAACTTGTTATTTGTTACTTTTTTTAAAAAGCACCTTGTTCCTTCAGGAAGGGGAAAAAAAATAACAGAGAACTAGACTTCTCCTTTCTGCTAGCTTCCCTTCGTCAGCAAGTCATTCCCAAAGAGTTCTAAAGCCTTTGCTCGCTTTTCCTCTTCTGATAACTACCTCATAAAGATCAGGCGCTAAATACCCACCAAAAATATTTATACCCAAATCCAAATCCAAAAACCCAAATCTTTTTCCCTCAAACTCCTCTTAATCCAATCCCCAGATCCTCTTTTGCCAACCCATAAATCTCACTTTCCTAATACAGTGAATCACTGAATCGAAACCGATCTCTTTGATTCGCAAAATCAAAGCCGATTTCTTCAAATATCGTTCGAAGATGACCCGAAGAAACAACCCTCCTTACACAAACCCAAAACCCTGCGAACACCTATCGGATTACAAGCTCAAACATGGTTTTAATGGCTACAAATCCCTCCAAAAGTTTATCAGGACCACCCCAAACGGAAGGACAAGCCTCGAAAATCCCAACACAAAGGTACCCACTTGCGATTCCTGTAATGGGTACCGGGGAAGATTCTATTTTTGTCTTGTTTGCTCCTCAATCTCTTGCTCAGATCACGTCCTTTTCCATAACCAATCTCGTAACGGCCATGACATCGCCGTCGACGTCGAAAGGGCCGAGCTTTTTTGTATTGTGTGCCGTGATCAGGTCTATGATCCTGATTTCGATAAGGCTGTGATGTCCAAACATAGAATTGATATGCCGAATGTTGAGAGTGATGGGAAGAGTATTGGGGAGAGGCTTTGTAAGAGGAAGAAATCGGGTTCGGGTTTTGGGGTTGTTGACCAGATGAGGGATTTGAAGGGTCCGAAAGAGTCGGCTTTGATGAGGGATCAAAGGGCTAAGTCGTGTTATCCGTTGGGTTTGAGGGGTTTGAACAACTTGGGCAACACTTGTTTCATGAATTCTGTGTTGCAGGCAATGTTGCACGCGCCGCCTTTGAGGAGTTACTTCTTGACCAATCAGCATAACCGCGAAACTTGCCGGAAGAGATCGGTGGACCGCCTTTGTTTGCCCTGTGACATTGATGGTATTTTCTCGGCTGTGTTTTCGGGTGATCGGCCTCCTTATAGTCCTGCTCAATTCCTTTACAGGTCTGCATTACGGCATATCTGCCCAGTTGGTAATTTTTTTTTTTAAATAAAAACTGTGTAAGGCAATTATTGGATGGTAGCTGCAGTTTTGTTATTTTTCAAAGCTCTAGTAGAGGCCAGATTGTCTTCAAGTCTTTTAGTTGGGCTTCTTATATTATTTAGCCAATTTCAGAAAGACCTTCATATTCCGTAAGTTATATTTTGCTGAATAGGCCATCTATTTTGAATGTGTTCCCTAGATGATTCAGTAAATTTTACTAATTGACTTATTTATGCGTGTTGTAATGTGCTCCTATTCAATATTTGAGTATGGAGTTCACTCAATGCATAGATTCTCAGTCAAAATTCGCATGTCGGCACTGGAAACTTTTTAAATTTTCACACTTCCTTCTTCTTTGATTGAGTTATGTGGTGAAATTACTCTATAAATGACGAGATTTTGTTTTTACTTCAAGTTGGTGGCAGCATTCAGCTAATCTGGCTAGTTACGAGCAGCAGGATGCTCATGAATTCTTCATTTCCTTGTTAGATGGTATTCATGAGAAAGAGGGTAAAATAAGGAACCGGAATAGAGGTAATTAAATGCTGATATCTAATGTTTTAGGCTGCTGTGCTGCGTCATGCTCTGAGACGCCACAGGCATGACCACGTTTCTTGCAATGTTCAAGTCAGGGACCACTCGTGAAAGCAAATTGAAGAATTTGAGATTCTCTGTTGTTGATGCTAATCGAGAAGAATTAAGAATATAGTACTATTAAATGATTTTCTATTGCATCTGGAAGAAGTTGGAAATTTTAAAAATGATTATACAGGGAGTCAATACCAGTAGATTTTAAGTTCTGGTTGAGGCATTTGTTATGGTTAGTGCTTGGAACTTTTTGTGTTCTACTCACGAAAAGTCCTCTTCCTTTTTCACAGAAAATGGAGATTGCCAGTGCATTGCTCATAGGGGTTTCTCAGGACTGTTGAGATCAGATGTTACATGTATGACCTGTGGATTCACTTCAACAACGTATGACCCTTATGTTGATATTTCACTCAACCTCGATACCAGCAATTATTCGATGACTGATGTAGCCAAGAAGCCCATTAAACCAAATGAAAGCAGCAGTATATCCACTCTTTTAGGTTGTTTGGACTTGTTTACAAGACCAGAGAAGTTGGGATCGGATCAGAAACTGTACTGTCAGAACTGCCAAGAACGTCAAGACTCATCAAAACAAATGTCCATCAGAAGGCTCCCGCTAGTTCTGTGTCTTCACATAAAACGATTTGAGCACTCGCTGATCAGTAAAATGTCGAGAAAGATCGATAGGTATCTGCATTTTCCTTTCTCATTGGACATGACACCGTATCTATCATCCTCAATAGTCAGAAACAGATTTGGAAACAGAATCTTTGCTTTTGAGGGCGATGAATCTGACATTTCCACAGAATTTGAGATTTTGGCAGTGGTCACTCATTCAGGAACACTAGAGTCTGGTCACTATGTGACTTATTTGCGCTTACGAAATCAATGGTACAAATGTGATGACGCTTGGATTACAGAGGTGGATGAGGAGATTGTGAGAGCTTCCCAGTGTTACATGATGTTTTATGTTCAGAAGATGCTTTATCACAAAGCGGACGAGAATATGAGTCACTTAACAACTTCCTCAAAGGAGGAGGCACTTCATCGGGTTGCTGGGTTCAGCTAAACAGAGTCCCAAACAAAATAGACTGAAAGTTGGCCGGTCGAAAAGGGCTTCTCACATGCATTTCACGGCTACAAACTGGATAAGCAAGTGAATGAGAGAACTTCCCCGTTCTTGAATAGACTGAATCATAATTCATATCCCATTTGTCATTAGTGGGATACAATGTGAGAGGCAACTTGGAACTGCAAAATTAATGAAGATCACAGTTCCAAAATGGAGGTATACTTATACAAATTCCAGATAATCTCATTGATCTGTTTATGGCTATCATTATGAATGGTTGCCAAAGGGGTTTTTCGCGAAAAGGTGTGACTAAACTTCCCCATACAAGATTCTCTCTCTTAATTCTTTGACCGCCATGTACAGCACAAATAATTATATTATCTCTCATCAAACTAAATAAGTCATTATTCTAATTTTGCATGTTCCACTCGGTGTTACTCATTGAGATTTCTATGGGCCATTAATATTTATTTATATTGATTTTGACTTGTTTATTGCAAGAGAATTTGTCGTGCCTTTTATTTTTCTTTGTCATCTTTGTACTCTCATTTCCGGCATATTTATGGAAGTTGGACACAAAAAGCTAATGTTTAAATTAGTGCCATTCTTTACATCTGAAGGTGCATTGTTGATTTGGAACTGTAGAAAGTAAGTTTAAATCCTTAACCAAAGTCTTGTCATTTTTCATTATTTGTCGCTGTTGAACGCGTTATTTGTTAAGTTACTGTCGTTTTCAGACTTATCAGCGTTTTCAATGTGTGCCGTAGTTTGTTGTCGCATGTCAGTTCTGTCGTTTATAATTTTTTGTCGTTTGTTCAAGTTCCTGCTTCTAGTTGTTGCCCTTGAGATGTTTTTGTGGTTTTTTTTTTTTTTTGCCTTGACATTTCTACAATTCTGAAGTTTATTTGTCGTTTGTACTGTGCATTTTATATTTTTTTAAAGCAATTATTCAATTAGGTGGGGAGCAATTGCAAATAATTTCAAGTTTAAAGGCTTCTCTTTTCTTTTGTATTTGCGGCCTGCCAAATATATTGCCGTTTCTCAAGTCATTGTCGCTTTTCATTAGTACGGTTGGTGTTGTCGTTTGTAAGATATTATCGTGTTTTTGCATCATGTTGTGGGTTGATCAGGTGTCGGTCATGTTTGTCCATGTCGTTTGTCAAAATAGTAATTATTGGTTGTCTTTGGGCCTGTTCGGTTCGTTAATTCGAGTTGAGATGTTATGTTATGTGAGAGTTTTTTACTGTAATAAAAAAGTTAGATGTGACTGTTTTTAAGAATTTTTTACTGTAGTAAAATTTGAATTCTAAACTCAAATTAGCGAAAAGAACGAGGACTTTGTTCGTTTCGTCAAGTCCCCGTCAAATTTATAAAATGCTTTTTTTTTTTTTTTTTTCATTCACGTGACTTCGATTATTTTTAACATTCCGAAACATGTACACTTAGTGCGGAAAAAGCATAAAAAATGTTAAATGGACGAGCTTAATCTCCACCAAGGCCAACGACTAGACACTGAAGAGGCGAAGAAAATCAACATGCAAGTCGACAAAGTCAAAGCCAAAGGGGACCTTCCTAGAAACCGTAATCCCCTTCACATATGTACTCGCCATTTTCAGGATATGGTTGAATAAAACTCTCACGTCCAACAATACTTCAACGTTAATAGTATTAGAATATTCAAAGTGGGAGGCATCAAAGTTTAATTTCCTTTAGAAAATTACAATATAGATCTCTAAAGTTTTCATGAGATATCACATTTGTGTATATTATATTATTCATGGACGGACGCCCACTCAAATTTTTTATTTTAAAAATCTTTTTTTATATATTATTACATTATATTAATACAGAAATAATCCTCACTAAAAATTTAAACATTTATCTTTATTCCTATTAAATTTTTGTTATAATTTTAGTCCTTACTGACATAAATTTCTAACTCGGTCATTTCTACTACTCAGTAAGCGTAATTTTTTGTTATAATTATTAGTCCTTATTAGTCCTTACTGACATAAATTTTTAATTTTTTGTCATAATTATTAGTCCTTACTGACATAAACCAGATCCTTACAAATGTCCCCACTCGGATGGCCCAGTAGAATTTAGCCCCTTTTAACTCTTCTTTTCTTTCAGAGTTTATCCCAAATGTTAATAATAGTCATAGATGGAATATATGAATTACCAAATATATATCATTTATCAACCAAAAGAAAAGTTTAGAAAAAAAAAAAAACCAAAAGAAAAGAATATACTGTGTAGCACCATGAGAAATTTGTTACGAGAAAAAACAACTCGATACATATACATATATATATATATATATTTTTTTTTTTTTTCTTTATGCTTTTCGACCATTTGAAACAGAATTTTGAACCTTTTAATGTAAAATTTTGTACGTTTTGGTAGTAGAAGAGAAGCTTCATATTATTTTTATATATTTGCCAAAATAAGAATCTTCCTCATCCGAAAAAAAAAAAACAATTATATTTAGAGAAATTTATCACTTAACCCTTCTTGTGTTTTTTTTTTTTTTCCTTAAAATAGATGGCTCCAATAAATATGAGCTGTTTACGGGTTTTACAGTTTGTGTTTTGATTGGTCAACTTTCAGACTTGTAGTAGGCGCAACTGCCCTTCAGCTGCCCTCGAGAGTTATCCAGCTCCGGATTAATACTCACCTTCATCCATTTAATCTCTTTACAACGATCTTCCCAAAACAATCATAATGTGACATAGTTTAGTAGTTAGAAAATGCAAAACAAAACAAAGAGAAAGGAAGAAAGATCCTTCTTATTTTTCAATTTTCTCTCTGGAGATTTGGTCAAACAAGTTCTTCAGAACAACAAGAACCCCAAGTTCAAAACCTTAATTTTAGGCCACACATATTTGTCAAGATCAACGACCACCAACAGATCGGTGATGGTGGAAGAGGAGGATCTTGAACTCGAATCCTTTGGAAACAACAACAACAACAACAACATTGATCACAAGAATCTCGTCGACAAAAATGGCGTCGGAAAAGGTTGTCGTGAGTGTTGCTTGGGTCCGGTCGTTTGGTTCAGAATGCTGGCGTCCGAAATGCATTGGAGCTTCGTGTTGGGAGTGGTTGTCGTTTACGGAATAAGCCAGGGATTGGGCGGAGCTCTTGCTCGTGTGGGGACAGAGTATTACATGAAAGATGTTCAGAAGGTTCAGCCTTCTGAGGCCCAGATTTATGCCGGAATTACTTCCATTCCGTGGATTGTTAAGCCTCTCTGGGGTCTTCTCACCGATGTTCTCCCGATTTTCGGGTATCGAAGACGGCCTTATTTCCTCTTAGCTGGTAAATTATTGATCTCTTTACTTGAATAATTCTGTGGATGGATCTTTTCTTAAAATTAATTGATGGGTCTTTATGGAAAGAGGGAGACTTTAATTGTCAAGTTACAGAGATTTTTTCCTAATGGTTAAGAAAGTTTTTATTTGAAGTAGATAGATTCTTTATTTATTCCTTCTTTTTTTCCTTTTTCATGTATTGATGTAAATTGGTAAGGAATGGATTCTTCGGTTTCGCTTTATGTTGTCATTTTGTGCTTTAACGTGGTAAGCTGAACATCCCTATATTAGTGGTTAGTTATTTATGTCACGGATTAAACCCAAATCCTTTCCTACTGAGAGATAATATAAATAGAAAGAGAGAAAAAATAATATGCAAGATTTATAGTGGTTCACCCTAAACGGCATCACTATGTTCACTTTTAGCTGTTGCGGAATTTTCAATGATGGCGAAAAAAATATTACAAAAGAGACGGCGACCCCTGTTATTTTGAGATCATATTTAGTAGTCAGAGTTTGCCTTGATTGAACTAGAGGCTCTGACGGTAATTAGGCTCTACATGCTCAACAGGTTAATGTGCTACATTTGACATATGCTAAATGAGGAGAGAAAATTCATTTATGCGGACTCTGTAGACTGGAGTGTCATGAAAACTTGATAGCTGTGAAGCAAGTCTTTGATTTTGAGACTCAATAGCTTTTATGGAGGGAAGAACTATATCGTTCCAATCACTATAATAGTACATGTTAGACGGTATAGGAACTTCTTGTTCTCACAAAATGACGAGGTCATGCACTCGAATATTGTATTGAATATTTGTAAGAAATGCCAAGGCACGAATTGCCTGGACGAATAACCTGATAGGTAAAATTGAGTAAGTATTCTCTTTCAAACTATCTGAGCCTGGTCATATTGGATTGATTTATTGGTACACGCATTTCCACTTGTCCTTTTACTCCGTTTTTTACCAGTGCAAACATCTACAACGATGAACCCTAGTAAAATCTATTACTGCTGCTTTGCATTTGAAATTACTAGAACAAAAAATGAGAGTCCACTTAACCAGGCATAAGTCTCTGCAGATAATTTATAAGTTAATTTGTGACAAGAAGACCTGCATGTTTGAGCCTTTTAATGGGTTGATGCGATTTGAGATTTGTTGGACATAAAAAAGTTGTCTCGTCAAATACTTCTCCTTTTTGTTAACTCCAGGTTCGCTTGGTGTCATCTCCATGCTCATGTTGGCAGTGCATGAAAAGCTGCATCTCGTTTTAGCGCTTTTGTTTTTAACAGCTGGGAGTGCTGGGGTAGCAATAGCAGATGTGACTATTGATGCCTGCGTGGCACAGAACAGTATTAGTCATCCTTCACTGGCAGCTGATATGCAAAGCTTGTGCGCCTTGAGTTCCTCCATCGGCGCGCTAGTTGGATTCTCTATAAGCGGTATCTTTGTCCATCTTATAGGTCCCAAGGTTAGCTTCTATACGATGCTGTTTTGCATTCATAGATACCTCATTTTGAAATTACGATTTTTTTTTAAGAGCTTTCATCTCCTTTGTAGGGCGTGTATGGCTTGTTGACAATCCCAGCTGGGCTTGTCTTTACAGTTGGGATTGTGCTTAATGAACCTCATACACCTAATTTCCCGTATAATCAGGTATTCTTGAACTCCTGTTGATTTTGAGTTCCGGGTTTCGGCAAGCTCATAGTTTAATGTTCCACACTGGACTCAGGTGAGTCAGAAGTTTTTCAATGCTGGGAGCGCTATGTGGACAACACTGAAGTCCCCAAGCGTTTGGAGGCCATGTTTATATATGTACTCGTCCCTTGCATTAAGCTTGAATATCCTTGAGGGAATGTTTTACTGGTATACAGACGCAAAGGATGGTCCATCTTTCTCTCAGGTATGAAAAACTTATGTGATGCTTATTTTTGGCCAGGACTTGGGATAAATAAGTTGTAGCATATAAAAAAAGTCTAAGATTCCATTTTCTTGTGTTTCAATTTGAATTTCAACATTTACATAGTTTAGTGTTATCATGGATTTAGTTTAAATACCTTAAGTGTTCTAAATAAAATCTTCTCATATTCAGCTTTTATTAAATTCAGAGCAACTCTTCATTGCTATTGAAAAGTAATTACTACTTACTCATTGGCGTTATGCAGGAGAATGTTGGTTTTATATTTTCCATTGGTTCAGTTGGCGCCCTACTAGGGGCCTTGCTCTACCAAAATGTTTTGAAGGACCATCCTTTCAGAGACTTGCTTTTCTGGACACAGTTACTCTATGGTTTATCAGGAATGCTAGATTTGATGCTGGTTTTGCGGATGAATTTGAAATTCAGCATACCCGATTATTTCTTTGTGGTGATTGATGAAAGTGTTTCACAAATGATCGGAAGGCTCAAATGGATGCCTCTTCTCGTGCTCAGCTCAAAGCTTTGTCCCTCAGGCATTGAAGGAACTTTCTTTGCTCTGCTCATGTCGATTGATAACGTTGGAATTCTCTCAGCCTCATGGGGAGGAGGTCTCCTGCTTCATGTGTTGAAGGTTACTCGGACGCAGTTTGATAACCTTTGGCTCGCGATTTTGATCCGAAACATATTAAGAATCAGCCCTCTTGGTCTGCTGTTTTTGGTTCCTAGAGCTGACCCCAACTCTTCCATTCTTCCCACTGAAATCTTGAGCACAGAAGAGGAGACTGATACACAGGAGGCAAAGAATGTTGAATTGGTCTCTCTTGTAAACAATGTTGACAATCCTAGATAACCAAAACAGGAAAAAGAAAAAAAGTACATTTACCTGAAAACCATTTTCAGATTATAGTATACCAACAGATTGGAAACACCAAGGTAAAAGTCAAACTGCTTGAAGTTGAGACTGAAGGAATTCTGCGGATGGATGTTACGTGCCTAGAATTGTTACACCATCATTATCTCAAATACACCATTTTTTTTTCATTTCAGTACAATAATATACACGTCCAATAGATAATAGAGAATATTGCTTGCATGATTTTTCTTCTTGCCTGATGTTTGATATATGTATACTAAATAATGCGAAGTTTTATATATTTCTCTCTAGTCAAGGTAAAATAGCTGATTGAGTTAATCTTATTGGGCAATGTTTTAAGGTTTTTGGCACAATTGCCCCTGAACTTGTTGTGGTTCAGTAACTTACTCCCTAAACTCTTAATTTTGGGAAGTTACCTTCCGAACTTGTAAATTTATTGTAATGTGCCCAATTTTAACTAAATTTGCTCAAATTTTTTTATTAGATTTAAGGGATTAAAAAGTTGAGATGTTGAAAGATTTGTGTTACATTTAAATTGGAATGTTGAAATTTTTAGCTGAATGTGCTTTTTTGACACTAATTTAACACAATGGTCGTCAAAATGAGGCATATTGCAATAACTTTATAAGTTGAAGGGGCAACTTGTCAAAATTAAAAATTTGGGAGGCAATTTGTTAAATCATGACAAGTTTAGGGGGCAAATGTGTTAAAAATCCCGATGCTTTAACAAACAAGGAAACTTGTCACCGGCATGCCAAGCTTTTGGGACAATACCAGAGAAACACCCTCAACTTTGCAAAAAACGACTAGCTACGCTTCTGTAAGGGGGAAGACTAGCTGTTTGAGTGGAATCAGTCGTTTGTTGGCTCGGGACTGGATGGAGCTCCACTGCAAAATGCAGTTCATGGGGCTTGTTAAGCTCCGGCATTGGCGCATCAAGCTGAAGAACCTTAATCACTTCCCCTGCCTTTGGCCTCTCCCTTTCGTTTGGGTTAGTGCACCACAATCCTACCTTCAACAAGGCATCCATTTGGTTCGGATTGAACTCCATATCCAATCTCTCATCAGCCGCTTCCCTGATGTTCCCTCCAAGGTGAAGCTCCCAAACCCGCTTCATCAGCGTCACATGATACTCCCCTTCCTGATAAACACTCCTCTTCCCACAGGCGATCTCCAAAGCTACAACTCCAAAGCTGTACATGTCCGATTCTTTACAGACTCTTCCTACGCTCACGTACTCCGGTGCCAGGTAACCAATCGTCCCCACCACTGGCGTCATCCGATCAGTTCGCAGCTGGGGGTCCACTAGTTTGGCCACCCCGAAATCGCCGCGCTTGGTGCTGAAATCCGTGTCCAACAGTACATTCGCGGGCTTGATGTCTCTGTGAAGAACGCACTGCTCTGCTTCTTCGTGTAGATAGTTAAGAGCGAGGCTAAGCCTAGTGCTATCTTGTACCTTACATCCCACGGCAGAGTCTTTCTGTCGCCGAAAAGGTGATTGTCAAGGCTACCATTAGGCATATAGTCATAAACAAGAAGGATCTCCTTTTGCTCTTGACACCAACCGACGAACTGCACAAGATTCCGATGCATAACGCGGCTTATCACCTTCACTTCGTTGAAGACGATTCTCTCCGAATGCTCCGATTCTCCGAAGATTCTCTTCACCGCAACTTGGCGGTCTAAATCTCTCAACGTTCCTTTGTAGACATGTCCCGACCCTCCTCGACCGAGCTTTCTATCCTCCGCGAAACCATTGGTTGTATTCACCAGTTCTTGGTAAGTAAATCTTTTCGGCAATGATAAACATCCGCTCTCTACATCTGTTTTAACCAAGAGTACCAGAGAATTTCTGTCCCTCCTCACGAACCTATAGATCACCATCAAAACGAGCATAACCAATATTACTAATACTTCCACCAAAATCAGTTTCCAATTCAGCATATTTTTCTTCTTCTTCTTCTTATTATTATTATTATTATTATTATCATCATTATTTCCAGTATCGTTCCTTTGGAATACCCAAATCCAAACTCGAATAGAATTCCCACGAACTGATTGTATGTTCTTCACTGTCCAGCCCCGTAGAAGAAGAAATCCCAACGGTAACCACCTCGGGAAGAAATTTCTTCAAATCAACAGCGTAAGAAACAAAACCCGGAGGATCAACGCTTCCCTCGTACGACCATGTCACGCTGAGATTCTTCGTCGTGGAGTCGTACGACACGCTCACATGAGCCGTCTTCCCGCTGTTGGAGGTGGCGTCCCAAGGGGCGTAAGCGAGCGAAGCAATGGAGTTAACGTTGATGGCGACATGCTGTCCTTCCGGGTCCCACGTGTCCGGCGGAGCGTTCTGGTAGGAATCAAACTCGACCATGACGATCTGGTTGCGGGACATGTCGGAGACGGTGGTCTCATTCAGGAGTCCGAAGTACGTGCCTGCTGAGTGAGGAGGGATGGGGTAGCCGACCGGGGCGAGGAAGAGGGCGAGGCCGTCGTCGGTCTTACCGTAAAAGATTTGGAGTCGGAAGGAGAAGCGGGTGGTGAAGTCGGCCACGGTTCCGTTGGAGGAGTCATAGAGGCGTAGCGGCTCCGACGACACCACACGCCCTACACGGTAATGGTCGAGCTTGGTTAGTTCGATGTCGCCGGTGGGCGATACCTTCGCGTCGCCTTCGAGGCGTACCAGTGTCGGGTTCGAGTCGAAGCGAGAGATGTTGAAGACTAGTGAGTGAGTAATGGTGGGGAGAAGATTAATGGCTAAAGTGAAGAGAATTTTGATAGAGAAGTGGTAGTTGTAGTTAGACATGTTTGTTTACAGTAAGGGAGGTTATAAGGTGGGCGAGATATTAATAAGGGAATATTGTGTCCTAAGTCCTAATTATCCGTTCAAATTAATTTATCAAACAGTGTTGTTAGCCATGAAACATTTTGTTGTTTGGAGAATCTTAGGGTCGGCGTTTTTTTTATTTTTTATGGGTCTATACTTTAAATAATCAGATTTGTAGTAAGTCCTATCAGTCCTGTGTATTTTTTTTTTAATTTTAATCAAATTTAATGTTCATAAATATACCAAATAACGCAACCGAAAGATAGCATGATAATAGAATCTTCTTAAAATTTGAGTTTATAACATTATTATTATAAAGAGATAATGTTGATTAATAGTTTGGTTAATTGCTCCTACCATCCAATTAACTTTCGACATCACTTTAAAAAACAATATTTACTTTACAAGGCATCTCTAATAATCGCTTTATATTATATTTGACAAGAAAAAGGCATAAAAAATGACATAGTTAATATGTTGTTCCATTTTTAACTCTAATGTATAATTCTATTATAATATTATATCTATTTTTTTATCTTAAATTTCAAAATTTTAGAACTTATAAATGGAAAATTTAGGACCAATAAGCATATGCAAAATTTGAAATTAAGTATCACATTATATCAAAACCGGTTTTTTTTTTAATTTAATAGAGTTAAATTCATGAGAGAGGTCTTTGAAATTTTTTTAGAATTAATCTATGTACTGAAAATTATTTTAACCCTAAACTCTTAAAATGTCTCAAATATAATCCATCAGTTAAAGACTTACAATTTTAAAAATAAATTCCCACTTCTTTTTTTGAAAAATAAATTCCCACTTTTAATGACGACAAAGGACAAAAATAAACTAATAACAAATAAAATTTATGAATATGTTCATAATTAGACTTTCTCAAAAAAAATAAAAAAGATTAATAATCTGTACATAATCAAGTTTATGATCTCAAAACTCAAAAAACACCATTCAAATAGAAAGTAATCATTTATTCTGATAGGGTGTTGTCTAAAAAGCATACAAGAGAAAATAAATACCACTAGAAAGCATAAAAGATACAATTTGTTAAAAGCATTGTACGATAATTTCAAATTTAACCCCCAAGACAAATAGGAGTTGTCTTACTTCAGTCTTATAATTCAAAATGACACAAAATTAACTCTGAACTTTTCATGTGTTGCAACTTTAGTACTTCGTCAATGCAACATCAACTTTTAACAAGTTTGATCACATGTGGGTCCCGACTAGTTGATAAAAGAAAATATGAGAGTGCGACAGTAATCCACGGGGTTGCAAGCAAAAGAAAAGACAACACTTAGGCTAGAGTGAGAAAAATTTGTAAAATTTTTAACAAGTTTCTTAAAGTTTTGAAGTCTATTTTGTTTAAATTTATATCATGCAGTCTAGTGATTCCTATGTATTTAAAATTGTAAAAAAAGTGACATTTTCTTAATAAAAGTATCAAAATTGCAACATATGAAAAGTTTGGGAGTCAATTTTATCTTATTTTGAATTGTAAGGGTCAAAATGAGATAATTCTTACTCTATCGGGGCTAAACTTGAAATCAAACTGAGAAAAAAAAATGCATGAACAACAAAAAAGTGCAATAAATTAGGAGATTGCCTATAATTTGATATTGAATTACAAGATTACCATTGCTTTCCATTCAAATTTTAACAGAACATTAACTAAGAGATTAAATTCGAGACATCTAAAGAACTTGGGATTTAAAATTAACATTTTTCGGTACAAGGACAACTTTTAGAGAGAGAAAAAATTCAGAAACCTCTTATAAATTTAACTTGATTTAATATTAAATATAACACTATTTTCCAAATAGATTTTTTACTACCTAAATATTAAATCTTAGCACAGACATAGAAATTTGGCATTAGATTGGAGATGTACTATACCATCAAAATCCATCAAAAACTATTTGAATAGACAAAAAGTAATGCATATACATTTGATAAAAAGTTTTGTTTCCAATCATTTACAAGTTTTTTTTTATTTATTTATAAAAATTTCAGAAAGTGAACGACTGATGTTAACGTACCTTCTCTAGAGTTGTTAAAGAGGCTCTTTAAATACAGACGTGAATGGCCGCTAAAAGCCAAACTGTTAGGCCTTATCTCACTGAATGTGCTAGCTTTAAAGATACGTGTGGGCGTGGTCCTGAACACTGTAAATCAAGTGCTAGATTTGCAAAAAGTTAGTGAGGGGTCTCAAGTGGATTCACCATTGAATGTAAATCATCACATTTAAGACTTTTTAAAGATAATTGCACAACACTCGAACCTTTAGGGTTCGTTTAGTTAGAGGATTCAAATCATGTGATTCGAATCATTTTTAATTTATGTGTATTTTTTGTGAGAGAAAATACTGTAGCGAATCACGAATCATGATTTGAATCAGGAAACGAATCCCTCTACCAAACACTCTCTTAATCATTAT